AGGGTCTCCCAGGAAAGCTGGGCGGTGCAACCGCCCCAGGTAGGCGGTGGCACCGCCTGGGCTCAGTCTCCGAGCGAGACTGGGCGGTGTAACCGCCCCTAATAAGCAGTGGAACCGCTTGAGCTCGGTCTCCGAGCTCTGCCAAGCGGTGCAACCGCCCCAGTCAGGTGGTGGCACCGCCAGGGCTCAGTCTTCGAGCGAGACTGGGCGGTGCAACCACCCCTGTCAGGCGGTGGCACCGCCCAGAGGCTCAGTCTCCGAGCTGCCATGCGATTGTACCGCCCCAATCAGGAGGTGGTACCGTCAGGACCCCGGAAATCCGGAAAAAGATATTTTTGAGCTCCAAATTCAAACTAGTTTGGGGCCCATATATACCCCACCTTTTCTTACATGAAAGGGTACCGAAAATCCAATCTTACTTTGTAAATTTTAGAGCTCAAAAGTGTTATAAAGGCTAGAAGTTCTCCTCCCTCTTTTTCCAAGTTTTGATCTTTCAAGAGGGGAGAGAAAAGTATGTAAGGGTTGTCTCCTAAGCCCGTCAAAAGGAGTAAAACTATAAAAGGTGGTTGGCCTTCACCTATTGAAGGGAGGCCTCTAGTGAACGTCGGTGACCTCGTTGGTGGAGGAAGCCAAAAGTGGATGTAAGTCAAGATTGATCGAACCACTCTAAATCTCGGTTTGCATTTACTTTGAGCATCTTAACTTTACTACAAACCTCCTCAATAGCTTACTGCCTTCTGCTTATTTACAAACGTGTTTCATAGTTAAGTATTTTCCGAATCGGCATTAAGACGGAAATCAGTTTTATCATACGAACATCATATTTTAGTTTGCGCTTATATTCTGATTTCTATCTTAACTGCAAATTGCCTTCCTTACTTTACTTCAAATACATTTCTGTAAGCTTTCAAAGTTATTTTCGGCATGAAATGACTTTTACGTCGGAATCGGATTTTAACGTACGAATGTAGTTTTAATCATCGAAAGTTTTTCGCTGCACTAATTCACAACCCCCGCCCCCCCCCCCCCCCCCCTTAGTGCTCTTGATCCTAACAAAAGCCTGTATTGTAAAGTTTTGAAAAGTACTAAGTGTCTCCCTCCTTCTCTTTAAGTTTTAGGCTTATTCTAAGAGAGGTGTGAGACTTGTAAAGGTTATCTCTTAAACTTGTGAAAAGGAGAAAGAGTTGTAAGAGGGTAGTTGGTCTTCGCTCATCGAAAGAAGATCATTATTGAATACCGGTGGATTTGACGGAAGAGCAATCGGGAGTGGACATAGGTCACGACGATCGAACCATTATAAAATTGGTTTATATTTACTTTCTACTTCTCATTATTATTACTTGGTGATTTAATTGTCTACTACTCTTACTTGCTCACTATGCTTACCAATGCTTTTAAATTAAACATATTTTCGATACGGTTACATCGAATGAAAGTTTGAAACCAACATTTTTACAAATGCACTAACCCAAAAATCTTTATTTCTTTTTAACTTATCAAACTTCTTAATATATGACAGTTTAAACCAACATTTTTACAAATGCACTAACCCAAAAATCTTTATTTCTTTTTAACTTATCAAACTTCTTAATTTATGAGAGTTTAAACCAACATTTTTATAAATGCACTAACCCAAAAATCAATGTATTATTCTAATCATTTCATTAATTTTTCATTAATAAAATGATTAAAATAATTTCTCCTACTTCAAGAACGATCCATCTTATTTCAATTGGTTAGAGGGTGATAATTTATATTTTATATGTATCGTAGTCCTTTAGCTATTGAGGTGTATGGTTGCTAAGTTAATGATTTTCATCACTCACAAAATTCATCAATAACAAATAAATATGAATAACATGAAGAGACTAACTTAATTAGTCTTTAATTGATAGCTAAATTGATTCAATTAATTTAAACTAAACTCAATTGAACTAAAACATAGATGAATCAACACAAAATTCTTATACAACTAGTCTAAAATTAACCTAAACTTATATAATTTTATATTAGTTGAGCTAGTTAAAATTAGTTCAGAATCACACTGAGCCATCCTAAATCACTTAAACCAGTTTGGTTTTAAAATCAATTTGGCGATGGCAACCTCTGCACAGTGTTGGGTTAGGCCACAGTGGATCTTATGTTAAGATCACGTGCATTACATGTGTCTAGTAATGGGAAGAGGGCAATGGTAGGGTCTCGATTACACTCAGCACATGTGTCAGCATCGGGACAAGCTATAATCCGACCCACATAACTAATCACATATTGGACACATGACATAAAAGACTATAGGTTGAGCTTTAGCATAGTTCTAGGTTAGCTCTAGACTTATCGAGTCACATGCACCACGTGTTCACTACAAGGGAGAGGGCCGCGAGTTAGGCCTCAATGTCGAGCCACGCATGGGCGACAAGCATTGGGTTGCATCGGCCTACGGGACAAGGCATCAGCCAAGCTTAGCCACGAGCTTAGTCTAGATGGACCCAGAGGCTCAAATGCATGGGGCCAGTGGCTCGCCTCTCGTTCCATTCCCAAGTTGAGTCTTGGTCTTATGCAAGATGTTCCTGATTCGACCGATTAGATTAATTCAAACCCAAACCCATCCGATTCCTAAATGAAATCAATTTTTTCTTATTTTTATAATTTTAAAATTATAAAAATAATAATTATATTTATTCAAAAATATCATAATGAAATTGTAAAATTATGTAATCAAAACAGATTTTCTAAGAAATTAAATTCAAAAACTGTTTCTCATGAAATAAAATATCAGTAAACTAGTATTTTTTTAATTTAAAATTTTAAGAAATCATGAATTAGATAAAATTGTATTAAGTAATTGAAATTCAAAGAACATATAGTATGTTAAAAATCTTAATCTAAAATTAGGTTTTGAAATAATCATTAACCCATAGATTGCATAAATTTCAATCAAATTTTAAAATAATTTATCAAAATTACATAAAATTCACAATTAATTCTAAACAAAATTTTCTAACTTTTAAATACTAAAGAAGTTACAGAATTACTATAATAATGGAACCGAAAAAAGTCAGAAAACCTAACTTTCTTATCGACCATCCCCCACTCCTTATGGGCCAAAACCCTATTCCTCTGTTAACAAACAAGGAGGGGTCTCCACCTGTTCTTAAATAGAAGAGGAAAGAGGATAGGATTTGGAGTCCTTGAATTTAATATTTAAAAATTAATCTTATTTGTTTTCTACTTTATATAGTTAGATTAATATTCAATCTCCTATTCAAAAACTTTTTAACATCAAAATCTACTCAAAAAGAAATAAAATACCTTAATTGAAATCAAAATATATCCTTTTCTATTCATAATCAAATTTGTTTTGAATTTAATTATTAAGAAATTATAAGTGTCGTTCAATGCCATTTAATATACACGACTCAAGAACTTCGTTCGATGCAATTTGATGCTATCTGATTTTTCTCGATGCCACTCTATCATTCAATGTCACTTCGATGACTCTCGGATGATAGGAAGAATAATAATAATAATAATAATAACGAAAAAAAGCGTATTTATATCCATATGTAAAATAGTATCTTAGGGATGCTAACGAGAAGTTTAATATTCATAATTTCTTTTTTACTATTGACAATCCCTTGTTATTGATAATCCTTTAAAAATTAATAATATATTATTTTATTATTTACAACCCTTGTATTATTAATTTATTTTTTTTCTTTTTTTCTTCCTCAAGATCCCTTATTTCATTCTTGTTGTTGACCCTCACGGTAGCCATAAGCATCGTCTAACCTCACCTGTCGCTCTCCTATTACTTTCCTTTAAGGAAGAAGAAAAATAAGATGTTGAAGAAAAAGAATAATAAGAAGAGAAGAAAGAAGGAAAAAAAAATAAAAAGAGGTACGTGGAGGACAAAGAAAAAGATAAAGAGGATGGTAAAGGGAAAGAAGAAGATGGTATTTATATTCATTTATAAGGAGACAATATAAAAATATTAAAATTTTAAAATAAATTATAAATAATAAATATAGGGATTGCAATTAGTAATTTCTTATTAATAATTCTTAACATCAAATAATAAATAGAAAAAGAGATTATCAACAAAAATCTCCTATCATTTAACTTCATACAGAACATACAGAACCACGTGCCAACTTTCTGATAGATCGATTGGAATTGAGATGATGACATGCCGACATAGGCGGCAGGAGTAGAGTAGTAGCCAAGGAGATCATTGTGATGAAAATAATAGAAGATAAGAATAATTATTGAAGAAGTTTTAGCTTAAATATATTAACATGTCCCTCTCCTATTTATACAGATGAGGAGAAAAGATTTTCCTTAACAGAATAGAGAGATTTCCTTTTGAGGAAATCTTACACGCCCTCGGTATAAAAAATATAGCATTTTTAAAGGTAATTAAATCTTTAACTTTAAGAAGCGATGCGGAAAAAAAAAGTTTTCCTTCCTTTGTTTCTACTGTGATTTG